TCTGCAACGTACCGAAGCACAAATGTGTATTTAACGATGATTTGTACAAGAAATTCCACACTTTCTGTTGCGTTCGGGACAAGTGTGAGTCCATGTGCACAGTGTATAAAGCAGCACATATGTTTCTGTGTCCAGTGGGAAAAAGTTTTACCAGATGAGAGTCGCTCAATGTCGATGACGAGTCCCCACCTCCCTCCCCCCGTACGGTGTCCTGGTTTTGACAAACGCAAATCTGGTCACACTAACCTGTATTCCACTGAGTCATGTCTTTTAATCTGACAGAAATTGACCACATCAGCGACACAAGAGCTGTAGTTTTATCTTCGCTGAGTTTATGCAAATTAGCGATGTGGTTTTAAGTTTCGTTTCTGTGAAAGTTGCGCAAAACTGAATTAAACACATTATAATGTCAAACGGGCTGATGTGGCTCTAGAGTCGTTACGGTTTATATGTCGTAAAGTTGAATTTATTTATGCAGATTAGTAGTGCAGATAGTAATAATAATGATGATCATTTTAATATAAAAACGTTAATGATTAATCGATAATCGATCGTTAATTCTTCCGACGATCGATTAAGAAAATTTCATCGAATGCCCGTTCCTAGTTTGTATGAAGTGAATCAGGCTAGCACCATGGCAAGGCAAGTTTATTTGTATCGCACAGTTCATACACAAAGTAATTCAAAGATGCACCGATACCTATTGATCGAAAATCTATACCAATACTGAAATACTTGTTGGTATCTGTTCCATAACTCTGATTAAGCTGATATCCTGGTTGGGCCTTTTAATTGGATCTTTTCTCTACCTGCTGTAGCACTTTGAAACGTCCTTGAAATGTGAAGTACAAAAGAAATAAATATATTATTATTATGAAATATATTTACAGGGTGTTCGTGGCCTAGAACATCTCACAAGGTTTGAACTTCAGTATTAATTTCAAGGATAAATAAAAGTTGCACAACACAATTCGATCTGTTGTGTAACAAGTTAACTGCGTTTTAAGGAAGGAAGTGTCATGTTCAGTCCTTACACTGTATCGGTTTATATCGGAAATTGGCAGATGCTTAAAGCCAAAGTATCAGTGTTGGTACCGGAACTGAAAAAGCTGGAAAAATCGGTGCATCCCTACTCAATACCGATTCCGATATCATGATTCAAATAAAAAAAAAGACATTCCTTAGACCACAGGTGTCAAACATACGGCCCGGGGGCCAGATCCGGCCCTCCAAGAGCTTTAATCTGGCCCTCGGCTGATTTTCTACTCAAATATTTTAATTATATTTTCTATTAAAATATTGGTAATTTGGTCTCCAGCGTCTCTGTACGTGGCCCCTCCCACCAGAGCAGCACAAATGAAGACTTGTCTCTTTCCAAACGCTCTTAAAGGACGATCGTTTTGACTGTTGACCGTGACACCCTCATCAGAAAAATGAAAAAACATGAGAAAAGTGGAGCCGAGTGCAGGATTTTACAACAAAAATTGACTTATTCCTGTTTACATACAAGTTCATGTTAAAACTTTGTGTTGAAATTGTATTTTTCTTAAAGTTTCAGGTTGTTCATAATATTATAATATTTTGTAAAAGAAAGAGTTCATCAATAATAAAAGATTTCTGTAATAGATTTGTGTTTCTCTGCACAAATATTTGAACTTATTGTTATTTTTGGGGTTTATATGACATGAGTTTTCTGATCCGGCCCCTTTGGGATCAAAATAGGTTGGATACGGCCCCTGGAACAAAATGAGTTTGACACCCCTGCCTTAGACAATAAAGTATACCTGTAAAAGTGCACGATGTCACTTTTTGGTTGGGGGTCCATCACCTGCTTGTTTCTATGGAGATGTCATTGCTCTGCCTGAAATGTTCCACAGTATGACATTAAACAGCTCTATCTTACATTTATCTTACATTTATTAAATTACAGCTCAAAAATACCTAGAAAAACATATATTTTGACTGTGAGCGGGGTCGCCTCTCCACAGATCTGACCGGTAATTTGGTCTGGTTTGGTCCCCATGAAGATGAAAGGGTTCAGTACCAGACTGTCAAACATTTCTGACAAAGCAATAACATCTCCATGGAGAAAAGCGTTGGACAGACCCTCCAACACAATGCTCTTACTCCTTACTGTCTTTGAAAATAACCATAGTTTGTGTATATTCGGGATGTGCACGATTAAATCGACTAATCGACAGTTGATCATTAAGAATTTCGTCGATCACGTTCACTTTTAATCGACAAACCGAATGTAGGTCACTGTGTGTAGTGTGAGGAGACGAGGCTGCGTCCGACACAAACACTGGAGTTGTGCCTCACAGTCCCACGTTTGGGCTCTGGCTCCTTGGAGACTCTGTTCCACTCAGTGAGTTTGTTTACAGCACATCAGTGTCCCGGGTACGATCGGGTTTTTGGAGTATCCCGGTTTCGTCATGGTGCATGTACACGCAGTATCCCGGTTACTCATTATTTATTTATTTATTTAATGAGACAGGGACAGTGCACAGTTTACATTAACCTTAACAGGAGAGATGCGTTGTACCAGGTTGTAGCACCAGTGTTAGTTTCCACCTGTTCTGCAGTGTAAAGTTGAGTTCACATGTGTCCAAAAACCAAACACTTTTCAGTCTTTTCATCACAACAGAAGCCAAAATAAATAAAGTGACCAACATAAATAAAGTCAGTGAAATGATGTTAAATAAAGAGCTGCTCTAAACTTGCACATTTCTGAACTAGGGATGGGCATGATTAGTCGATTAATCGATAACTGATCATTAAGAATTTCATCGATTATGTTCATTTTAATCGACAAACCGAATGTAGGTTGCTGTGTGTAGTGTGACCAAACAGGTGTGTACATGTGTCTCTGCATCAGAAGGAGCGAGACACAAACAGTGGGTCAGTCTGCAACGTACTGAAGCACAAATGTGTATTTAACGATGAATTGTACAAGAAATTCCAGGCTTTCCGTTGCGTTCGGGACAAGTGTGAGTCCATGTGCACAGTGTATAAAGCAGCACATATGTTTCTGTGTCCAGTGGGAAAAAGCTTTACCAGATGAAAGTCGCGCAATGTCGATGACGAGTCCCCACCTCCCTCCCCCCGTACGGTGTCCTGGTTTTGACAAACGTAAATCTGGTCACACTAACCTGTATTCACCTGAGTCATGTCTTTTAATCCGACAGAAATTGAACCACATCAGCGACACAAGAGCTGTAGTTTTATCTTCGCTTAGTTTATGCAAATTAGCAATGTGATTTTAAGTTTCGTTTCTGTGAGAGTTGCACAAAACTGAATTAAACACATTATAATGTCAAACGGGCTGATGTGGCTCTAGAGTCGTTACAGTTTATATGTCATAAAGTTGAATTTATTTATGCAGATTAGTAGTGCAGATAGTAATAATAATGATGATCATTTTAATATAAAAACATTAACGCATCATCGATAATCGATCGTTAATTGTTCCGACGATCGATTAAGAAAATTTGATCGAATGCCCGTCCCTAGTATGAACTGTGTCTCAACGCGACACACACACACAGAACACACTCACCATCATCATCATCATCACCATCATCATCATCATCATCATCCCTCTGTCACAGAAAAAACACTCATATTCCACTGAGTCGTGTCCTTTAGTCCGACAGAAGCTGAACCGCATCAGCGACACAAGGAAAGAGCTGTTTATTTTTTTTTCCAGCACTTACAGTTTATGCAAATGAGCCATATGGTTTTAAGTTTTGTTTCTGTAAAACGTAAACAAATGTGTCAAAGCTGCATTAAACACATTATAATCTAGGGGTGTGCAAAAATATCGGAATATTGGTATATTGTATCGTTTAATGTGATGATACAGTATCGATATCGTGGGCTACTGTATCGATATGTCACCAAGAGTATTTTTACGTGTGTTTTACTAAATTATTTTGTTACAGCGCTACAGTTTTGTTGCTTGTGGAGTGAAAGGAAACTCATTTATGCGACACATTTGACATTTTGACACTGTTTTGAGGATTAAAATGTTTGTGTTTCATATGAACTTTGCAAAAGAAGTGGTTTAACAAACACTTTTAGTATCACAGCCATGATTTAGCCTTTATTTTTTATTGAACTGTATCGAATCGATTTGAAATATATCATATCGAATCACAAGTGCACTGTATCGAGATATGTATTGTATCGTGGCCTGTGTATCGAGGTGTGTATCGTATCGACAACTTCTTAATGATACCCAGCCCTATTATAATGTCAAACGGGCTGATGTGGTGATGGTTTATAAGTTGTAAAGTTTAGTTTAGAGTTTATGCAGTCCCTAGTGCAGGGGTGTCAAACTCATTTTGGTTCGGGGGCCGTATCCAACCGACTTTGATCCCAAAGGGGCCGGATCAGAAAACTCATGTCATATAAACCCCAAAAATAACAATAAGTTCAAATATTTGTGCAGAGAAACACAAATCTATTACAGAAATCTTTTTTAACTGATGAACTCTTGCTTTTACAAAATATTATAATATTATGAACAACCTGAAACTTTAAGAAAAATGTAATTTCAGCACAATGTTTTAACATTAACTTGTTTGCAAATAGGAATAAGTCCATTTTTGTTGTAAAATCCTGCACTCGGCTCCACTTTTCTCATTTTTGACATTTTTCTGATGAGGGTGTCACGGTCAACAGTCAAAACGATCGTCCTTTAAGAGCGTTTGGAAAGAGACAAGTCTTCATTTGTGCTGCTCTGGTGGGAGGGGCCACGTACAGAGACGCTGGAGACGCTGCTGTGATAAACACCACAGAAAATTAACAAGATTTTAATAGAAAATATAATGAAAATATTTTAGTAGAAAATCAGCCGAGGGCCAGATTAAAGGTCTTGGAGGGCCGGATCTAGCCCCCGGGCCGCATGTTTGACACCTGTGCCCTAGTGTATATAAATAAGACAAATTAACGTTTTTGATTTGGCGGCAAACTAAATCTCTCTCTGTGTTTTTCAGAGGCTGCACTTCCCGAGCTGCCCGTGTCTGGGCCGGGCTGGTCCTAGCACCAGGCCCTGAGCGTGGACCACCGCTTCACCACCGACAACACCTGGATTACACTTTTGGACCTGCTCAGGATTTTCATCTCAGCTCCAGTCTTTCTATGCTGTGGTGGTTGTTCTCGATGTTGGCAGCAGGATGGGTGCAGATTTGACTATTGCCTCGACATTGCAGCCTTGGCACCTTTACTCCACTGGGAATAATTCATCCTCTCACGAACTCACCGACAAAACCGGCCCCGTTCTCGTCCCCTGGGGCTCCCCTCTGCCCTGCTCTGAAAGGACTCGGAGAAACTCTAGGATTTTTTCTTACTGAAGCCGCTCACAAACTGTAAAAGGATCGCTATTTCGAGATTATATATGTTAGTTGCCATTCCGTTTTTTTACTACTGTCGATAGTTTTATTTATCGTTGGAGTTATGTCTGAAAGCAGCAAGAAACCTGTGAAACTAATCCCCCCTTCCCCTACCTCCCCATCGCCGCCGTCGCAAAACCCGCCCAAGAACGTGAACGGGTCTCCTGGTTCCGACGGGCACCTGGGGGTTACCGAGGTCCAGCGAAGACGCCACACCATGGATCGCGACTCGAGGACCGCCGAGCACCGCTTTTTCCGCCGCAGCGTCATCTGCGATTCCAACGCCACTGCACTAGACCTGCCGAGTAAAGCCGCGGTCATCATCACCTCGCCTCCGGACTGCGGAGGGGCGCCCACCTTCTTCCCGCCGCACGCCCCAGGAACGGGAGGCGGGTTTCGGGACGGCGACGCCAGAGACGCCCACAGACCTCCGTACTTGCCGTCTGGTCTTGCTTCTAATCTAGAACCGTGCCTTGGCGAAGCTTTGGTGGAGGAAACCAATCAAAGTTCAGAGCAGGAGTTAGACACGAGTGTTAAAACGCAAGCCGAATCGCAAATTAAAAGTGAAAGTAGCGCAGATGTGGCGGCGCAAGAGCCAGTCCCGACAGCATTGGATGTTACAGACGCAGCAAAACAAGCATGCACACAAGCCGAAGTCGCTACCGGGTCGGAGAAAACCGAAGAAAAAGACGCGAAAGTGGCAGATCAGGCGGACGAAAGCAGCAGGAGTAGCCCGGCGGAAGAGAAGGAACGGGAAACCGAGGAGGAGAGGGAGCAGGCGAAGGCGAGGGCGGAGCAAAGGGAGGCCGTCAAACGCGTCCAGGACGATATCGAAGAAGCGGAGACCAAGGCCGTGGGCACATCTCCGGACGGGAGGTTCTTGAAATTCGATATCGAGATCGGGAGAGGGTCCTTTAAGACGGTGTACAAGGGTCTGGACACGGAGACGACGGTGGAGGTGGCCTGGTGCGAGTTACAGGTAAGAAAACCCACACGGCTTTTTACCGCTTCGGAAAAACAACGCTGCTGATTCGAGATGTTCGGAAGGGATGGGACGAGACTAAATTTCCACCAGAAGACGAGAGAAATTATGAGGTTCAGTGCAGAATTTTGGCCATACAACTTATAACTTTCTAACTTTCTTTTCTAAAATCGTAGTCCTGCTTTTTGAAACTATGACTTTTCAGACGAAGTAACTCACCAATGTCAACAATTTTTGCCCAAACCAAATATAAACACACGCTCATATTTGTGGTCTTGTGACAGTTTATCTCACGAGATCTTGTCCCATCCCTGCCGCTCAGTAACATTAAATTAGATCTGCACAAAATATGAAAAGACTTCAGATGTGATTATATTTTAGAGCTGTTTTGCTGTTCTAGTTTGTTGTTTGATTGTGATTATTCATGATTTTTTTCCAGAACTTTTTTCATTGTTCTGTCATAATGTTAAGATTATTGGATATGATTAGAGACTGAAGTCCTAAGATCTTAAGTTTTGTTATGGTCTAATCCCGGTTTAGACCTGGTTTAGACCTGTCATATTGATCAGGGTGAGTCTTGGAGACAGTCTGTAAACTTGTGGTGGTGTTTCTTGGTTTTGGCCTAGTTTGTCCTCGTCCATCGGCCTTCATTTCGAGTGCATTTGCTTTAGATCTGGTTTAGACCTGGTTTAGATCTGATTTAGTTCTGGTTTGGGCCTCGTTTAGACCTGGTTGAGATCTTGGTTGCGTCTTTGCCTTCAGTCACCTGTCCGTGTACGTGTATTTGTTTTAGACCTGGTTTTGTCCCGACTCATTGTTTGGCCCGTCAGTTTAGATCTCGTTTGGTTTGGACCTAGTTTAGACCTGTTTTAGTCCTGGTTCAGTCCTGGTTCAGTCCTGGTTTAGTCCTGGTTCATCACAGTTTAAGTCATGTAAGTGGGAAACGTCCATTATCCGTTTTTTCCATTCTTCATTTAACCACAAAAGCGAAAACTGAAAAAAGAATCATTATCTGTTTTTTCATTTTGGTTTTGGAGACAAATAATGAAGAAAATGGTTGTTTTTTCATTTTCTTATTTTTGGATTTATATTGAAACACGAAGATAGACATAGCTGGAAAAAAAAGTAGTTTTTTTTTTTTTTTTTTTTGCACACACTGGACATTTAGGATTTCAATATTTTTTATTTTATTTTAATTGAAGTCAGAGCAGGATCTTTTTATTCTTATCATATTTAAGAAATTGTTAACCTGTTCGGCCGGGAAGAAGGTCTGAAGTTAGTAAACCTGTTTCATAATAACCCTCAATTTTGTCATTTTGTAATTAATCAAAATGTTGATTATTAAAAACACAAATTGATGAGATTAATTACGGCGCCGTAGCAGCGGTGACATGACCCACTTCTGCTTGAGATCTCATTATAACAGCTCCTAAATAAATAATGCCTCTGTGATTGGATAATTATTTCGGTGTCAGTGAATCGTCGAGACAAATCGCGCGGTGCCACTTTCCTCGTGTCTGAGACCCAACGAGAGCCGACCTGACTCAGCCCCCCGTGACCTCTGACCCGCGTTTGCATCACCGTCTCCTCGGCGCAGAACAGGCTCCTGCGGCGCGGCTCACATTTCTACAGCTGTGTCTACATCAACAAAACACCAACCGCTCCAGTCACCAAACCAGGACTAAACCAGGATTAAAACAGGACTAAACCAGGACTAAACCAGGACTAAACCAGGACTAAAACAGGACTAAACAGGGCTAAACCAGGGCTAAAAGGACTAAACAGGACTAAACCAGGACTAAAACAGGACTAAAACAGGGCTAAACAGGACTAAAACAGGACTAAACAGGACTAAACAGGACTAAACCAGGACTAAACCAGGGCTAAACCAGGGCTAAACAGGACTAAAGCAGGACTAAAACAGGACTAAACCAGGACTAAACAGGACTAAAACAGGACTAAACCAGGGCTAAAGCAGGGCTAAACCAGGACTAAACCAGGACTAAAGCAGGACTAAAGCAGGACTAAAACAGGACTAAACCAGGACTAAAACAGGACTAAACCAGGACTAAACCAGGGGCTAAACCAGGACTAAACCAGGGCTAAAGGCAGGACTAAACCAGGACTAAAACAGGACTAAACAGGACTAAACCAGGGCTAAAGCAGGACTAAACCAGGACTAAACCAGGATTAAAACAGGACTAAACCAGGGCTAAAGCAGGACTAAACCAGGGCTAAAGCAGGACTAAACCAGGGCTAAAACAGGACTAAACAGGACTAAACCAGGGCTAAAGCAGGACTAAACCAGGACTAAAACAGGACTAAACCAGGGCTAAAGCAGGACTAAACCAGGACTAAACCAGGACTAAAGCAGGACTAAACCAGGACTATACCAGGACTAAACCAGGACTAAACAAAGGCTAAAACAGGACTAAAACTGGTCTAAAACTGGTCTAAAAACAGGACTAAAACAGGACTACCAGGACTACCAGGACTATACCAGGACTAAAACGGGACTAAAACAGGACTATACCAGGACTAAACCAGGACTAAAACAGGATTAAACCAGGACTAAACCAGGACTAAACAAGGACTAAAACCGTACTAAAACCAGGACTAAACCAGGACTAAACCAGGACTAAACCAGGACTAAACCAGGACTAAACCAGGACTATACCAGGACTAAACCAGGACTAAACCAGGACTAAACCAGGACTAAACAAGGACTAAAACCGGACTAAAACCAGGACTAAAACGGGACTAAACCAGGATTAAACAGGACTAAACCAGGACTAAAACAGGACTAAAACAGTACCAAACCAGGACTAAACCAGGATTAAACAAGGACTAAAACTGGACTAAAACAGGACTAAAACCGGACTAAAAACAGGAACTAAAATGGGACTAAACCAGGATTAAACAGGACTAAAACAGGACTAAAACCAGGAGTAAAACTGGTCTAAACCAGAAGTAAAACAGGACTACTCTCAGTTCTGATCCTAGTCCCGGTCTCAGTCCCGGTCTCAGTCCTGGTATGGTCCCGTTCTCACTCCCGTTATGGTCTCGGTGTCAGTCCCCGTCTCAGTCCTGGTCCTGTTCCCCGTCTCGGTCCTGGTCCCGGTCTCAGTCCTGGTCTCAGTCCTGGTTTAGACCTGGTTTAGTCCGTATGCAGCATCACAGTTTAAGTCACTTAAACAGGAAACGTCCATTATCCGTTTTTTCCGTTTTTCATTAAAACGCAAAATCGAAAAACTGAAAACACAAATAATTTTTATCTTGAAAAACAAATAAACAAACGATACACAGATTTATATCACCAGCCCTAATTACTGACGATAAATTGTGTAACGAGGAAATGAGGTCTTATGTCCAAAATTTTGACCTGTCCCTTTAAATATTTGTCAAAAATAAATAAATAAATAAAGCCTACGTATGTTTGATGATAAGTTTGTTAAAAATAATGAACTAAAATAAATAAATAAAGGGTCCAGTTTAAGTTTTCTCCATAATCTTAAGTTAATAATTTTATTTTAAAGATGCATTGTGCAACTTTTCTGGTCCAGGGTCCATCACCTGCTTGTCTCCATGGAGATGTTATTGACATTTATTATATCCAATCCAATCCAATCCACTTTATTTATATAGCACATTTCACAAACAAACTGTTTCCAAAGTGCTGCACAAATACATAAAAAATAACAACAATAAGATGATAAAGTAAATTACTAAAATAATACTAGTCTTAAAGTAATAAAACTAGTAAAATAATATAAAACCAGTAAAATAAAAATAAAACTATATCATAGAATAGAAATAAATAAACCAATAAATAAATTGAATCAGTAAAACCAATAAAAACACATAAAAATAAATAAAAGACACAGAGGACCACACAACTCACGCGGTGTTAAAAGCCAGAGAATAAAAGTGTATATGACATTGAACATTTTCCATTTATACATTTAGTAGTTATTCATTACTGGTGTCTCTATTGCTCAAAAACACATTAATTTCTTCTGCGAACAGGGGCGACTCTCCGCAGATCTGACCTGCTTGTCTCCGTGGTGATGGGTAGGTTTAGTCCTATGCTGTGGAACATTCTAGACAAAGCAATAACAAGTAGATGACGGACCCTCTACTAGAAATATTACACGGTGCATGTTTAATGAATAAAATAAAATAAAATAAAATAAAATCAATGTCCGCTTACTTTTCTCTCCCTTTTGGGCTCTTAAAACTCATCAGTGAAGCCGAGTGGAGTTGATTTGAAGGATCTGGGGGAGGATGAGCTCGTTAGTGGTCCTGACTCAGACACTCGAGCTCGACTGATGAAGCACAAAATACAGAATTATCATAATCGTTAAGGCGACTTCCACATCGGCGCTCGAATCCCTCACATATTACATTTCCAAACGATCTGACCCTGGATCAGCCACTCAGCTGTAATCTGATGCAAACACGAGTGCTCCTCTACAGAACCACCGGCCTTCAGTCTGTGCGTGTGACGGCTCCTCGTTTACAGAGGATTTAGACCTGGTTTAGACCTGGTTTAGACCTGGTTTAGTCCTGGTTTAGATCTGGTTTATGTCTGGATTAGTCCTGGTTTTGTCTGGTTTAGGTCTGGTTTAGTCCTGGTTTATGTCTGGATTAGTCCTGGTTTTGTCCTGGTTGAGGTCTGGTTTAAGTTTGATTTAGTTTTGGTTTAGTCCTGATTTCGATCTTGTTTTGACCTGGTTTAGTCCTGGTTTAGGTCTGGTTTAGTCCTGGTTTAGGTCTGGTTTAGTCCTGGTTTAGGTTTGGTTTAGTCCTGATTTCGATCTTGTTTTGACCTGATTTAGAACTGTCTTAGACCTGGTTTAGACCTGGTTTAGACCTGGTTTAGTCCTGGTTTAGGTCTGGTCTTAACCAGGTTTAGAACTGTCTTAGACCTGGTTTAGTCCTGATTTAGATCTGGTTTATGTCTGGATTAGTCCTGGTTTTGTCCTGGTTTAGGTCTG